AAATAAAGGGCTCTCAAAGGCTTATTTGTGTACCAAAGCCACCAATTGATGGTTTTTAGTCGATTTCACCATTTAATTTTTTTGTAAGTTCATTCTGCAATTTCAATTCGATTATTTGGTTTGAGTACAAAAACCAAGTATTGAAACAATTTTTTTTTTGATATTCTCTTTTTATTGACCTGAAATCGGTTACTTTTCATTATGTTTATCCCAAACTATTCGGTTCACAACATTGTATCGCAATTGAGTTGAAATTAACTTGATTTTCCAAGTGACTAGAGTCGTTTCTTTTTCCTCCGAACAACCAAAAAAACAAATGAAGCGTGTGCATGAAAAAATGAAATGATTCCGATTATATTATTAATAATTCAAAGAAAGCCGAACGAAACAATGCTATTATGCGTTCGGCACATGGTGTAAAGTGTAATGTGGACGGGTTGGGAAAAAAACGAGTCACATTTGCAATTGAATGTTCTTTGGAATAAATACATTGGCATTCAATGCATTACAATGTAAAATGTGTTCGGCTGAAATGCGAACGCCATTTTTTTCCCGGTGATTCCTCTGTCAAAATGATCGGAAACAGTGTTAAAATATTCATAATTTAAATGGTTTGCGAATTGGAATCGAGTTTTATGTACGGTATTACATCGTATGTGCGCGCATAATTCAACAATTGGAGGGAGAGAGAGAGGCAGAGAACAGTAGAGAAAAAAATGCAGTTTATGCAAAAGTGCATTGTGTGTGTGTGTGGGTCTAGTCAATATTGCAGTTATAAGGATAATGGTCGAAATGGAATTAAAACCGCATGCACACACACACACATTTACATTTTCGGTGGTGCATGTAACCTGTCAAAAAGTAAAAGATAATAAGTAGATATAAAATGAAAACCTATATCGCACACAATTCGGAGCCGGCGATGTCGAAATGAGCCGAAAATATCATAACCACATTCAATAAACTGAAAATAATTAGAGAGAGAGTCATAACAATTATATAGATAATTTTTCCGTGTTTTGAACTCTCTCCGCGGTCCCACTCTCTCTCCCGCTCTCTGGCTCTATTCAGCCCGCTTTGAATTGTAAATCATTTGCGAGATATACATATCTCGCTATCCACACATATCTATAGATGAAATGCATTTATATTTTCAATGTAATTTTATCATAAATATTACACATACACAGGCGGCAGACAGAGAATTTAGCAAAAATATTAACATACAAAACAAATTCAAATTAGTTGTCCGTATATAAAATCGAAAATTTTTCGTATGTTAATATTCGTTCGGTTGGACTTTTTTCTATGGCTCGACATCTTGTTACCGATCTATTTATGGAAATTTATCAATTTAATAATTTGTTTATATATATTCATTCATTTTAGTTGTGCATTGTTATAATGCTGATGTCGACCGGCCGGATATTTTTTGCTGCCGCTGCTATATTCGGCCTTTTGTTTTTCGACATTTCGTTAATTCGATTGGAATTGTATGTAAAATGAGTTGGAATAGTGTTGCACATACACACCACCATCATCACCATCATTTTCGAGTGAAAATATTGCGAGAGGAAAACGCATTTTGTGTGTGAGTATATTGATTTGATTTGCATAAAAGTGCAACAGCGCAGCAGCAAAATCGTCGCGAGGAAAAAATCAATTTTCTCTTAGCTGGCTGCTGGCTGTGTATGCATAGTAAATGTTTGTGCGTTGTCGTTGCGTACGTGTTTTGCGTTTTCATTAAATAGGCTCAATGTTGGGACTCACTCACTCTCTATCGCTCTCCCTCTCGCTCGCTCGCTCGTTCTCGCTCTCGCTTTTTGTGTATGCACTGACATAACATGCGTGAGCTAAAATGTGTTCTAGAATGCGACCGTTTAAAAGCACCACGTTCGAGTGGTTAGAGCGAGTGGTGAAGATGGATTATAATGCTTAAATGTAGGTGGAATAAATCAAAAATGGTCCAGAGGGAAAGAGAGAGAGAGAGAGAGAGAGAGAGAGAGAGAGAGAGAGAAAGAGAAAGATGGTAGCAGCCACATCAAATAAACACGATGCACCACCGCAAAATTTTTTGTTTTTTTGTTTCGAAATTCAAATTGAAAACAAGGCATCCAATGTTTCAGTTGCAAAATTTAAAAAAAACACCAATTCAAATACGTTCAAAGCAAGAAAGATAAAGCGAATGTTAATTTGAAAATGAATGCATGATTGCATTTGGCGATAGTAATTTTTTTTTGTCGTCGTCGTCGTCGTATTTCAAAGCGGATATAAAATGAATGTGTTCCATCAAAGAGATGAATCTAACCAATGCATTTTCAATGGTTTTGCCAACGAAATTCATATTTTAGTCAAATGCATTTGCACGTGCATCAAATGAGCTGATTTACTCGCTGTTTTTTCCGTTGCTTTTTGCTGATTTACCTTTAATGTTTAAATACTGAATTTTGTGCGGCAGCGATTATAATAAATGATGGACCAAGCGAAATTGATGAGTTAGTCGTAAACAAATTGATGAGTTGGTCCGAAAGCGCAGTTGATGTGTGTATGTATGTGTGTGTGTTTTTTTTTTTGTTGCAGAGCACCTCAAAACTAGAACATTTAGCCGAAAATGTTAGGCCTTTAAATATTTAGTTTTTTTTTTCGGCTCACAGCATCGACCTCAAAATTATAGAAATCATGCAATAACCCTTATTGAATCTAACTACTGGGAGATGAGCATGGAAATAGGATATATTATATAGGCACGCTATGTTTTAAATGCTACACATACAGAAAACCGGCCACATATACACAAACACACACACACACAGTTTCAGTCTCGCAAAGAAAACCGAAAACGGCCAACATATATAACGCATACACGGGGCTGATGATGGTGGTGATGATGCACCCGAAAGTGCATATGTACATTACACACATTAACCAGAGAGAAATGGTGCTGGACCGTCGCGCAGGATTTCGATTACCATCCAATATATGGGCATATGCACAACCGATATACATATTCCGAGAGGAAGACAAAGGCATACCGAAGCGAGATATGTGCGATGGGGATGTTGCGTGCATTGTACAGCGAGAAGCGAGAGATATTATGCGAGTTGCTACTACTGTGGATGCTGCTAGTTGACAGCGAGTGCAACCGTTTTTCCTATGGTGCATTGACCCTTCTCTCGCTCTCGCTCTCTCCCTCTCGCATCTCTGGTTTTCAATTAAATATTAAATTCAAAACACGGAACACATCCACACATACGAAATATTATATAATAAAATGCGTTTCGTTGATTACTCTTTCCCAACCACCGCTCTTCTACCCGCCACTCGCATTCGCTCTCGCACTCGCACTCTCTCTTCTTCTCCCTTACTCTCTCGCTCACTCGCCTCATCCGTCGTCTGTTATTGTTGTTGTTGCTGCTGTGCCCAGATCCGAAAACTGGTAATTCAACTCTTTTGTCATATGAAAATTTAATAGTTTTGCCGTGTGATTGCTACTCAAATAGCCTATTGCCTATTGCCCATTTCGACAATTGACATAACAATACTAACGTTTTTTTTTCTCCTATGAACAGGATATTTTAATGATTTCCCGAACATACCCATACATACACACCCAAAAAAAATAACACTTATCGCGATAATGACATGCGACCATGATAAATATACATGAATTAAATTCTATTACGATGCTTGTTATTATTGTGAAATGAGCAAAAACATTTGTAATCAAATTCGAATTCGAAATTATATAAAAATAATGGTTAAATTGACAATCAGAAAAAAAACATCGGCTTATTTTACAAACCAAATATTTTTTTAAATGAAAAAAAAAACATTAAAATGAAGAAAAAAAACCATTTCGGAATGGGGAAAATCATTTTCAAGTGATAAAAATTCCTTTTCAAATGACTACTTTCATTCGGACGACAAAAATTCATTTGGATGTGCTTCACTTAGGAAAAAAGATTCAATTTTAAACTTCAAATTTATATTTTTCTTCGCCGAATGAATAATCTTCCGTTCAGAAGATTCATTACCAACAGCAAAAAAAAAACGGAGAGCGAAAAATGCGATTCACTTCTCAAATGACACGGCGCGAATAAGAGAGAGAGAGAGTAAAGGAAAGAGCCAGAGAAAAATGATTAAAGCGAGTGCATGTTTAATTAGGTAGCAGGCCAAAAGTCGAAATGCGCTGTGAAAACATTCATTAGTTCGTTTCGTGCTTTACTTTCTTTCTTGAATTTAACAACGTTTTTCTGTACCTCCAAGGTATCCCTTTTGCATTTAGACTGTACTTCTTTCTGTGTGTCTCTTACTCTCTCTCATCCCTGGTGCACATATTTCGATTCCTTTAATAATTTGCACGGCGTGTTCTCGTTCTCTTTATTTGTTTGTGTGTACGTTTTTCTCTCTCAGCGTTGGTTCTTGATGGTGATTCGAACGACATTTGTGCGAACCGTTTTACATTTTTCTCGAACATTTTCCGTGATTACACTTTAATTAGATTTTCATGCATTTTCATATTTTTATATGATTTATGTTGACTAGAGTATCGCTTAAATTTATAAGCTCACAACCTGGATACGAAGAACGAAAAAAAAATGGTCGTTTTTACTGTTTCGTACGTTTACGAATGGGCCAGAATGCACTTTTATCATTGTTTCCCGATTACAATGTGTATCTCTCTCTTTTTTTTCTTCTCTTCTCTAGAGCGTGTAATTTGGGATGTTTCCTTCGTTTATAATAATCTTGTAAATGGAATATCATTTCACATTTGGACCGAAAATAAATTAGTAAACCTCTTTTAAAATGCATTAAAGCACAACTCGAAATCGACCCGTCTAATTTCGCATTAAATCACAATTTTCATAAACCGGTTGAATACGATATGAACACATAGATTTTTTTTCCCACAATTTCTCGGTTACAATGTATAAAGGTGTGTACAGTGTACACTTTGTGTACACTATGTATGAATAATATGCAATCTCAATTCAACTGACCTTTGATGTATGCGTTCTTAAGCTGGACTCCGTTGCAAAACCCTTACCACAGATATTGCAGTGGAATGGGCGATTTTTGGCTCGTTCCACCTGAGCATCATGATTTCGTAAGTGCTGCTGCAAGTTCGACAATTGGATGAACGCTCGGCCGCAATCGGGCAAGTGACACTTGTACGGACGCTCACCTATACGCACAGAAGAAAGCAAGACATTTTTAATTTGGGGCAAATTAGATAGGATTTTGTTCTGTAAACAAGGAATATAATAGACAAAGAAGGAAAAAAAATGTTGGAAAAAAGAAGAAAATCTTGGAGGAAAAAAATAAAATCAGTGTTAAATACAAATTGATAGAAAAATACAGTTATTTTTCAAATTGGCGAAGAAAAATCATTCAAAAATCGTCATCAATTCAAAGATTTTTCACCTTTTGAACCAAGCACTCTGTTTTTTTTTATTGAAGAGAAAGGAGTTAAATTTGTATGATACGAATCCAGTCGAATTGACGGTCTACGGTATTTTTTTAAAAGGTAATAAAATTAGAAGAGTAATGACAATTACCAAACAATATCGATGTCATTTGGAAATGCAATAAAAATTCAAATTTTATTCCCATGAACAGCAGAAAAGACTGCTTTTTTTCTCCAAAATATCATGTGATTTTGGAGAGAATGCATCCAGGAACCGAACAGAAAAAATAAACTCGTAAAACCAGTTGACGTCCATCAGTTAATTGTAAGCGATATATTATTTTATTTAAATTAGCTATCAAAATATTCTTCCCCGAACGACACATGACATCGAGCGTCGCCACTGTTAAAATTCATTCAGTCGCATCAACTGTTTCTCTCTCTCGCTCTCTCTCTCTCTCTCTCTCTCTCTCTCTCTCTCCCTCTTGTCTACCTCAAAAACTGCTGCAACGTTAACGGTATCTTGTATTCAAAGTCATTTCCTGCATCGTATACAACAAGCTATTTAAAAAGAAACAACAACAATAACTAGCTAACCGACATCAAATCTGTTCGCAGTAAGTTATGCAGCTGACCGCTATTTAAACATAAACAAACAAGCAAGCCAACGAACGAACGAGCGAGCGAACAAACAAACAAAAGTAACAGCACTAACAGTTATTTCAGGATACAAAGTTTACTTAGTTTGGGAATGAATGAAAAAAAGAAGAAGAAGAGATCCATTCAACGTTTCTTTGCAGGAGCGACGCAACCACAGTGTAATGAGAAGAGACTCAATGAACGAAGAGCTTAGGATGGAGGGTATTATGAGCTGGTTTTTTTTTGTCAGAAAAAAGTCACTTTTCTATTTACATAAAAGTTACAGAGAAGAGATTTCTCTCTTTTAAATGAAATTGAAATAAAATGTACTCAAACATTGTTTTTTTTAAAGCACGAAGTCATTTTTCTCACAGAAAATCTATTTTCCAAGTTACAAATAAAAGAACTATTGAAATGCGATCAGAGATTGAAATGGGCAGACGGAAGGGTTGGTGAAATTAAATGCCGATTAACTGATCATTTGATACAATCGGCAAATTGTGTTTAAAAAAAAAATTGCATATCAAATACATGTGGCCGGCCAGCAAATTAAAGGGCTAGTGCGAAAAAAAGTGGCGGGCAAAAGGAGACGGAAAAAAATGAAATTCCCATTTAACGGTTGCTTAAATTAACATTTCAATTAAAAAGTCTGTGTTTTAGCGTGTGCGCCCCTTGCCACACAGCACCGGCTGAGTGTAAAGAGCAGCAGTTCATTCATCGAGAGACCAAAAGGAAAGTGGTATTGAAATCCAAGCTTGAAGCTGTTTTCCATTCATTATGCGAAAGTGAATGAGAGTGAGTGTGGCTCACACTCAAGCGATGGCGGCTAAAATTCACTTAATGCCATTGCTCTGGCGCTTACTAATGACCATTCAGTAGATATAGCGGCACAACGCTTACAATATTCTTATTTTCTCTCACTCACTTCGTCGCAGGACAACGATGTACCGTACAAAAATGCCACAGAGAGCATCAAATAAAAGCAAATTATCTTATGTGTACAGCTCGTGCTTTTTTTTCTCTCTCTCGTTCGACAAAACAAATGGTCGCTGCTGGTTGCATCTGTGCAGCAGGAAGCAAATACATACAACTATACCGACGAATGGCAAAAAAATCCGTAGCGGTGTCGTCGTTTGCAAAAGTGTTTAAGGTCAGCAGCACTAAACGTCACTTTCGCCACTTTACATCGTTAGCAAAAAAAAAGAAAGAAACGGCGGTAGTAGCAACAACTAACGATAAACAGAGGCAAAAAAAAACGAATGGCGAGTGGCGACGAGAGACTGAGTAGAATATCAATCTCACGTAAACGATGTGCGCAAATTGTGATTTAACTCAAACCGCTGTCGCGGTCACATCGCAATGCAATAATCCGTTTAATATAGACTTATGAAAATGAACATGTTCGGTGGCAAGCGTCCAGTTTGCCGCCACAAGATACACACGGATGTATCACAACGAGAAAAACAGAGAGAAAAAAACGCCACCGAACACGAAAATCTGTTAAAAATATGTAGATTTAAACGGCGCGAAGTGAGAGCGACGACGACGAGAGATGAGAAAAAAAATATACACGACAACGGCACGACGATGGGAACAATCATTTGCGGGGGCGTCAAGTGAAACAAAAAATAAAAAAGGGACTGCGAAAAATCGCAAATTGTGATAAGAGAATAACAACAACAGCGAGCAACAAAAAAACGAGGTGCAAAAAAGTGTGAAACAAACATAAACGGATATTCATGGAAAAATCTGCGAAAAAAAGCGGCAGCAGCGGGGGACATGGAATGGCACCTCGGACCATGCACGAGTCTAACGATTTTCGAATTGTTGACTTAATCCAATTTAAAACGGAGCAACGACACATACAAAAAATGCCACCGCTGCTGCTGCTGCTGCTGCTGCTGCTGCTACTGCTACTGCTGTTGTTGCCTTTGTTCCCGACTTTGAATTGGTCAGAATGAATTCGCCGGCAAACAATGACCGCGAAGCACACGTCATATCTGCAATCTCTCAATTCGGTTCCCTTTCAGCATTTTTTTGCTTCGTTTCGCTGCCAAATGCCTGTGTGTATGCTGAAAACCAAAGGAGAATGACCAAAACCAATGTGGACAGACGAGAAAAAATCAATGGAAAAATTTCGGCAGTGAGGAGAGAGAGGGCGAATTAAATAGCATCATAAACTGCAAACAGAATGTAAAGCGAAAGAATGAGAAGCATTTGTGCCGCTATTCAAATACAAAGTAAATGCTTGAAAAACCTCTGAATGTGCGGAAAAAAAGGTGGCGACTTTGAATACCGAATTCGACAACGAAACACGACAAAAAACAACAACATGCGAGTGAATCGAATGCAAACATATATGAATGGGGAGTAGTAGTAGAATGAGCATATGGCGCCTAACTCATTTCACTTCGAGATTTTTATCCCACGCATAAATAAACTGCCCATTTATGCGATTCATATGGTTGGTGAGTGTGTAGTTGGGAATCGGACGCGCGATCAATGGACACATGTAGAGAAAAAAAGGGAGAGAGAGAGAGAAAGAAACGAAACAGGAGAATATGACGGGGCATTACAGCCTTAAGGGCTATTTCACGGTTTGTATCGCTCTTTCATTGGCAACAAACAAGCCACAACTGAAAGCAACAACAACAAGGAGGAAAAAACCGCGCGCAACTTTTTTCTTTCTCTTCCATTTCACAACCAAACAGATTGGTCTGCTGAATGATGATAGATATTGTGTATGTGCTGCATATAAATAACGGAGGGCAGAGAATGATGAGCCATGAACAACATGCTTTGCAATATGTTTTTTTTTCAGGACACAAAAAAAACGGTAAAAAGAAATACAGGAATGAAGAGAGAAAAAAAAAATTTGTACACATAAAACAAATAAGTGAAACAAGCGCGCTGTGAACAACCACATTTTATACGTGCACCACTTTTTATGCACGGGCATTTTTAATACCCGATTTTGTGTGTGTGTGTGTGTGTGTGTGTGTGTGTGTGTGTGTGTGTGTGTGTGTGTGTGTGTCTCTCTCTCTATAATTTCTCATTACTTTTACCTCTTTTCTTCGCTACACACCTAAATGCGGTGTGTGTGTGTTTTACAACATTGTTCATATCATGAAATCAGGACACGGTTTGTGTGCTGCTTTTTTTCTTCTCTCTCTCGACTCGTTTTTTGGCCTTTCTGCTACATCATCAATCTCCCATTTAACACTTTGCATATGTTTATCGAAATATTATTATGGGCGCTGGTGATTTGAATCGAATCGAGTTGCTCGACTGCATCAGCAATTTCTTTTCGGTGATTACGAATAAGACTTTTTAAATTGAGTTTTTTTAGATTCATTTCCCCATTTTTTGTGCTCTTAAGCACCATCTTCGATGGGAATCAAGATCAACTCAATGTGGAAGATTGCTGAAAACTGCAATTCATTTGAAAATTCTCTTCACAATTTGCTTCGATTACGAGTGCCTGAATTTACGTTTAAACTATCGTTTTCTCTTCATTTCTCTAAAATTCCCTTCACACTATTGGTTCAATGGTGCAATTTCATTTGGCAATCATTGCCAAATCACATGTGCAAAGCTGGACACTTGACTAACAGTCTCCAAAGACTCATTTCAAATGAGAATAAAATATTATGAATAATTTTACACCCATTGTTCTGGTCCATTTCCAAAAGCCAAACACTTTTTTCTCTCCATATTCGAATGTATTTTCTTCAGCATCCTGTGCGCTTGTCGACGTTTCAAAGCTGTCACATACATGCTACCTTCATATGTTCAACGAAAAACATTTTTAATGCGACGTAAGTGGACGATTTAATTTTATTTGGGTTGGAATTTAATCAGGAAAAAAAGGTGAAAAAGGTAGAGAGAAAGAAAAAACGAATCCGTCCACACAAAACACTTTTGAAGCCAATGTTAATGTAACCCTTTTACAAAACGGAACGCGTCCTTTTGTATGGCCATTTGCACAAATCTGCATGTGAAACATTTCCAGCTAGTGGAATTACTTTGTAAATAAACGTCTCATAAATTTTAGCACTATTTGTAATTCCACTGATGAAAATTACACGTTTCGTAGACGTTGCAATCGAAACTAATGAACCGGGTGGCACTTTTGAGTG